GTTGAAACGCTGCTCTTACCACTGAGCAAACGGCTAGGGTCTTTGTTTTTATTACTGAATGATCACCACACCAGAATGAGATGCACATCACAGGAAGTCCACCAAGAGATTGCAAAGACAGAAAGAAATCTCACCTGTTACACAGCCCAGCAGGTGCAGTCTGTTACACACATGTTCTTCAGGTACACAGTCACTAGTCCTCTGGTGAGAGGACTTAACCTTTGTCACACAGAGTTCATCCCAGATTCACCTGGGAATGGGGGTGTTGGCGAATTGCCTTTGTCCAGAGGAAAAACACATGACAGGAGGTAGTTTTGCAGCTAGGATCCAGGTGTCCACCCAGGTTAGGGTCCCAGCCTCCCTTGGGGACAGGGAGACAGGGTGCTGTCTCCCTTGAGATTTACATTTCAAAGAGATGGCTTCCAGGTCCCTGAGAGAGACAGTCCTGGGTTGTAAAGCTGGCAAGAGGCTTATTTTGCCTTGGAAATGATTTATGTACATCTCAAAGAGACAGAGGAAGAACCTGTGTTTAGAAGTTTTCTAAAGAAATGTTCTAAAGGAAAGGGGAGGGGTTTCTCCCTTTCTGCACGAGGGAAAAATGTTTTCTCTGTATTTTAGATTCATATTTACCCTTATCTCCCCCACCCCCACCCCACTTCTCTTGGCAGGGTCCAGATTCCCAGCCTGGGAAGGGGACCTGGGAGAGAAGAGGGGGACCCTTAGGATGGAGGGCCTCGGGGGCTCTCGAGGGCCCCAGGTGGGGAGCAAGATCAGACAGGGTTTCTTGTGAGGGCGGCTGGACTGTGAGGAAGCTCCAGCTGATGGCCAGGAAAGCCCATGGTCGCAGCTGCTGGAGCTGATCTGAGAGCCACAGGTCCTAGTGGGGCTCTGTGGGAGTGTGGGGTCTACGGGCAGCAGCGTGTGAAGCCAGAATCCTGTCCGTAGCAGAGGCAGTCCCTGGTACCTGGTGGAGAGAATGAACCACAGGCTGCCACAGTCCACCTCTGAGCGCCACAGCGCTGCCAGGTGTTCTCTGTGTGGGGCTGTGTCCTCCGTGGGCACCAAGAGCTCCTGTCCTCCAGATGAAGGGGAGTAGAGTAAGTGCCGTGTCAGGTGGCACAGTGTCGTGGAGGAATGCGAGGTGGAGTTAGGCTTGTGACTTTACCCAGAGTGCCGGGGAAGGCCGCGCTGAGGAGGTGGTCCCTAAACGAGGTGAGGGGGGCCATGCCAAGATCTGAGACAGAGCACCCCACGCAGAGGGGCAGCCAGCGCAAAGCCGGGGGCTTCTGAGCAGCATGACCTGTCCCCCATCATGTTCCAGGCACAAGGAACCATCAGGAAATGTCCCGACAACCGGAGCATTAGCCAACCAGGTGAGCCATGGATTGGTGGACACGTAGCCCAGCTGGACTGTGCGTTCTTGCATGGAGAGCTCCTTGGGAGGGTTTGTGCTGGGACATGGACGGGGACCTAGAGAGAGGAGGGCTGTGGCTTCACAGGCACAATTCTGCCTTCCCAGGTGTCTGCAAGACCTCTCAGGCCACTAACTCGTTTGAGTTTCTCCCCTGCAGTGTCCTTCACACCCCGCCCTGCAGATGTTGAGAGCCTAGACCTGAGGCTTTAGTCTGGGAGCTAGAAGGCCTGGGATCTTGCCCTGCTCCACCATTCAGAACCTATGTGACTCGGGGCATGTCAGTGGCCCTCTCTGACCTCAGGTTCCTCTTCATAAAATGGGAATTATGCCTGTTTTACCTGCCTAGCGGGTATGTGTGCAATTTAAAGAATCCTGCACATATCAGCTGAGGTCACGGGCAGAAAAGCTCTTGGAAAAGAAGGAATGCATTCTGTGAGGTGGCGCGAGGACTGGGAAAGTCTTTGTCCCTGTCCCACAGGCCACTCTGTTTCCTTTCTCCCATCTCACGCACAGATCGAGTCGGGGCACCGTGCTGATGCCGTGGGTCCCCCGGAATGGAGAGCAGCCTGGCTGGTGCCAGCACAGGTAAGACAGAGATGGAAAGGTGCGAGCTAACCATGGCTTCCTTCCCGGGCACATCTTCTGTCTTCGACTTTGTGTCCCTCCAAAGCTGCCCTCACTTAGAAGGTGTCGAATTGCAGGACGTTGAAGGTCTTCAAAGAATGGGACAAAGACAGATTACAGGAGCTAAGAAAATGACAAAGGGCGGTTCAAAACTTGCCAGGCAAGGGAACACACACGCACTCACACGCACACACACACACACACATGCAGACACTGGCATGCACACACAGGTACTATTTTCTTTGCTAATTCCTCCCTCCTACTTCCTCTGGATTTATTTTCTTGTCTTTTAAATTTTGGAACCTGTTGTTTACTGTAGCTTCTCTCTTTTGTTCGCAACTGTTTCATTTCACCTACTTTTAATTGAATGTAAACTTTTTATTGAAGTGTAACACATAGAAAAGTGCATAGTTCAGGAGCTTTATAAATTCTTATGATGTGAACACTCCCATGTGACCAGCACGCAGATCAAGAAAGAGACCATTGCCAGAATGAGAAGTCCCTCCTGCCCGCTTCCAAACAGTGCCCGTTATCCTGGCTTCTAACTCATCCATCAGTCTGGCCAGCTTTTGAACTTCATATAATGGAAACATACAGTCTGTATTCAGTGTCTGTAGCAGACCTTTTCCATCAGGCTGATGTCCCTGAGCCAGAGGAACCAAGCGCCCCTGGAGCCCTGAGCAGCCCTATGTGTGGGACCCGGGAGTAGAGCAGCCTAGGTTTAGTACAGAGACAAGGCTCACCTGTTCTGGTGCTGAGACCTCTCCGGCTGACTTTCTTGTTGATTTTGTTGAAGAAAACTGATGTTGCAGACGGCCAAGTCCCAGCAGGTGAGGTGCTCACACACCACGGCTGCCACCCTGGAGAGGGCCCGGCAGTGACATGGGCCACTGAGGGACCGGGCACAGACTCGCTTAGCAAACTCCCAGCACATGATCCTTTGGAAAAGAAGATGTCTGAACTTGGCCGTGTTCTGCTTGCTCTCCAGGGAAGCTCTCACTGGATGGGTGTCTTTAACTGTTTCTGTGTCTCCTGGGCCTCAGGCAGAGCAGGGGGGCAGCCGGTGTGCCTGGCACAGCAGCTTCACTTAGCTTCCCTCCTTTCTTTGTTGTTGTTAATCCTCAGCTGAGGATATTTTTTTCCATTGAGTTTTAGAGAGAGTGGAAGGGAGGGGAGAGGGGGAGAGAGAGGAGAGAGAGAAAGAGAGAGTGAGACATCAGTATGAGAGAGACACATTGATTGGGGTAGGGATTGAACCTGTAACCCAGGTACCTGCCCTTAATCAGAATCGAACCTGCGACCCCATGGTGCACAGGCTGGCGCTCTAACCACTGAGCACCGGGCCAGGACCAGCTTTCCTGTTTTGCATCTTTCCCTTTGTCCTTATCCAACCCCCAATCTGTCCCTGCCCCTGCCCTACTGCCCTTCCTTCTCCTACTGTCTCCTTTCTCCTTTCCCCATTTCATCTTCTCCCCTTTCAAATCTCTTCCTTGTGCATTCTTCTGCCCTGTCTTATTTCCTGCTATGCTCTGCCCTCCTGCTCTGTCCTCCAGGCAAGTCTCCCTCGGAGCTCAGAGCAGTGACGGACTCTCCCCGTCCTCTGTCCCTTTGCTTCTGGCAGGAGACCGGCTGGTGATGAAGATCAAGCCAGAGAAGCCAGAGTGGCTGCTGCAGACCCTGGCGCCGCCGGCCGCGCTTTCCAAGGACAAGGAAAACATTTTCCAGCAGCCCCTGGGCCTCCCACCACGCCAGGCTTTGGGGAAACCCCGATCCTTGGGGGGACAGGAGGAGACTGGGGGTCCCAGGTGGACCGCTCCCACTGAACAGGATGCTGGGCTGGGAGGCCAGGTTCCGGGGGCAGCCCCCGGCCCCCTGAGCCCCGTTCTGTCTGCCAGCGAGGGTCATTTCGTGTGCCTGGACTGTGGGAAGAGGTTCAGCTGGTGGTCGTCCCTGAAGATCCACCAGCGCACCCACACCGGGGAGAAGCCCTACCTGTGCGGCAGCTGCGGCAAGCGCTTCAGCCAGAAGCCCAACCTGGCGCGCCACCAGCACCAGCACACGGGCGAGCGGCCCTTCCGCTGCCCCGAGTGCGCCAGGCGCTTCAGCCAGAAGCAGCACCTGCTCAAACACCAGAAGA